TCTCAAAACATTTTCTCTCCATTTAAACCCCCGACATTAGGTCCTCATTTTTCCCCTCCCTCCCCGCTCCCCCCTCCCACATGAGCCCTTGATAGTTTATCCCCATCTTTTTTTAAGGAAGCTACAAAATAGCATGCTGAAGCATGCCAACAATGTCACCATCCGGGAGAGCATGCAAAACGACGTGTGCAAACTTGTTGCAAAACTCCAGGAAATGAGAGAGAAGAAGGATGTCCAGTTAAACAATATTGATAGGCTTTCCAACATGATCACAGTGATCGAAGAGGAGATGGTGCAGCTTCGCAAAAAATATGAAAAGGCCGTCCAGCGTCGAAATGAATGGTAAAGACCAGGGGCCTAGGGGGCGGACCAGTTGAAAGCTAGCGGCTCCACGGGGGGCGGACGATGTGGCAGTCTGCGGCTGTGAAGATGACAGCCGTGGAAGCCCAGTGGGGCAGTTCTACTCTGCCCCTCAGGCCACGACCCTTTCATACAGGTCCTCGTGTGGTGGTGACCCCAACCACAAAATTATTTTCATTGCTACTTCATCGCTGTAATTTTACTGTTATGAATCAGGTGACCCCTGTGAAAGGGTTGTTTGATACCCCCCCAAAGTGGTCGCGACCCACAGGTTGAGAACCGCTACTGCTCTAGGGTCTCTGTGAGCTGGGATCGACTTAAGGGCAGCTAGATTGGTATTTGGTTTAAGAGGGTGGTGGCATGGTGGTTTCACATTGGGCTGCAATCAGCAAGGTCAGCAGTTTGAAACCACCAGCAGCACCCTGGGAGAAAGACTGGGCTTTCTACTAAAAACAGTTACAGTCTCAGACCCCCACAGCAGGGTCACTGTGCACCGGCACTGACTCGATGGCGATGGCGGTGCATTACTGTTGTCTAAGAGGGCGAGGCCAGAGAATGGTGAGAGAAGTCCCTCACGTGAAAAGCAGAGACTTTTTCAGGATGTTTCTGGTACCTTCTAGTTCCTTCATTACAATTCAAAGTCATCAAGTCCAGGCTGACTCACAGCAATCCCCTGTGGGTTTCTAAGATTGTTTGCGGAGTAGAAAGCCCAGTCTGTCTCCTTTGGAGCTGCTGGTGGTTTCGAACTGCCAACCATGGGGATTGCAGCCCAATGCATAACCATTATACCACCATGGCTCTATAACTATAAGCAATTCTCTGAATCTTATGTGTTAGTCCAGGTGGGCTAGAGAAACAAATTCATAGACACTCATATGTGTTTAAGAACGAGCTTTATATCAAAGAGTAATTGTACATTAAGGAAACATCCCAGTCCAGTCCAGGTCAAGCCATAAGTTCAATATTAGTCCATATGTCGATACTAGTCCATAAATCCCTCTTTAGATTCACTCAGCTATGCAATGATGCAGAATGCAGGAAGATCACAGGCCAGTGGGTGGAAAGTCTTGTGGATCCAGTGGTGGTGGAAGCATCTCAGTGCTGGCATGGGTCTCCACGTGGCTCTGCCAGTCCGAGGGCTCTGGCTGCATCAGCACAGCTCCAGGTGGCTTGTCAGCAGGAAGAGGAAGCAGAGGGTCTGGGTCTGCCCTCCAGGGATCCATTGATCTCCTTTGTGCCTCCAAATGAGGTCATCAGGCTGCGATCTGGTGGACAGGCTAGCTAGCCTCCACCCCTTCCCAAATTGACAGATGATGTAACTGCCACATCTCCTGTCCATTGTTGTGGTAGCTCTGGGCTCCGGGGACGAAGGCGCTCGCCTGGTCCATTTTCTCGCCAGGAGATAAGCCTGGGGGCAGCAGCCGTGCTTCCCAGCTGCAGTAAACCTATGACTCTTGGAGCCGCTTCCTCTGGCTGCTTGTGTTTTGGGAAATTTGGTTGTAGGGAGCCCCCCATTTTAATGTCTGGTGTCAAATTTCCCAGCAGCCTGTGTGCGAGTGTGTCAGGGCATGGGAGTGCTAGATGCTGAGAATACCGGGAAGGATATACTGTTGCCCCTGGTGTCCATTGTCAGGACGGGTTTGATCAGGAAAAGAGCCCGTGAAAAGGAAGGTAACAACACACAAACCAAGGGCGGTGAGAAACAGCCTGCAGTGGTGGCAACGCTAGGAGAGTAGATGCCCAGTGGGGGAGGCCTGGGTCGTCTGCAGAGTGGCGCCCTGTCAGCGGACCGGGGCGTGATTTCTCGGGGGCTTCTGGCAGGGTGCAAACAGGCCCTGGTCGGAGGTATAGACACGAGCCATGGTGGCAGCCAGCGCTGCTGGACTTCGAATCTAAATCTTATTTTGATTCCACCTCAGGCCCTCTTCTCCCAGAGGCCTACCCCTGGCATGGTTGCAAAGGACAGTATTGCCTGTTTCTGAGGAAATTGGCACCAGAAACATGCGACTGTTACAAAACCCACAGGGCCAGCCAGTACTATAGAGCAGAAGAGCTGCAGCCCCACGTTCCCTGGCCCACTGCCCCGGGGTCTCTGGCTTGGTTACTTACTGCCTCGGCTGGCAAGTCTGACCCAAGTAAAGGGTCTGCAGAAACCCAGACACGGGCACCCTGTGCTCATGCTTGGGGCGTGGCGTTCTTTCCCACGCCAGGAAAACCTTTTGAGACTTAAGTGATCTGGTCACCGGCAGCTCCCTACAGAGCCGAGATCCCAAACAAGCCTCCTTGCCCATCCCCAGAAAAAGCCCAAGTTCCGCAGCTTCACTAGACACCCTCCGTGACTAGCTGGGGTCCCACAGCCCAGAGACTAGACAGCCAGAGACCTCAGCACCCCCCAACCTCTCCCTGTCACTTTGCCCTCAGCGGTGTTCAGCTGATAGAGCGGGAAGAAGAAGTGTGCATTTTCTATGAAAAGATAAATATCCAAGAGAAGATGAAACTAAATGGAGAAATTGAAATACACGTCCTGGAAGAAAAGATCCGATTCCTGAAACTGAAGATCGCAGAGAAGCAAAGACAGATCCACGTGACCGAGAAGTTACTGCCGGCCAAGCGGTCCCTGGACGCCGACCTCGCAGTGCTCCAGATTCAGGTGGGAGCAGTGTTTGGCAGACACTCCCTGGGACGGTTCCTTCTTAGTCTGTGAGCGATGCACTCTCGGTACCGCCACAGCGAAGCCTAAGCTTGAGAACCACGGTTTCCCAGCGGACTTCGCGCATCTTAATTATTTGCCGACTTGGCACTAACGAAGTTGCTCTGAAAGGACAGGATGTGCCGTGTGGAGCTTCGGGCATTTTGTACGCTGCCCTGTAGCTCCGGGTTCCTGTCACATCCTGTTGTTTGTCATAGAGGCAGGACTGTTGTATTGTTGTTTTCTTCCCCAAATCTTCCCCTTTTTGCATCATTCTCTGAAATCTCTTAAGGTTTGCTTTTTCCCCCAAGAAGTTATTTGGAATGTTTTTCCAAGAGTCTAATCCAAGGACTGTCGTGAGTCATATTCTCCTGGTGCCTGTAATAGCAGCTCCACTTTAGAGATCTTGGAAGTCACATGGCCTATTTTAGGATATAAGAGCATTATTTTGTGTAGAAAATTTCAGTAGTTTTTCCTCACCAGTCCATGGGAAAAGTAAAATCAGTCAAGCTACCACTTTGATAAGTAAACATCATATTTTTACTCATTTCATTTCCTAATTAAGAAAAAAATACATGTTAACAATAGAGCAAATATTTTCATACACACAGGTGTGTCTATATATACTTTAACTCCATATTTATTATGAGTATAGTGAGCAGAGAACAGAAAAATATTAAATTCGTATTAGTGTGTCAACACTTCAACACATTTTCTCATAGAGAGGGTGACCCTAAACTAAAAATCTTAAACTCGACCTGGACACGAAGCTAAAAACCTCGATGTGTGTCACTCCTGTACTCAGTGGCCTCACCCGTGGGCCTTTTCTTCCTAATTGACAGCTGAAGGCACCAAGGCTTAGAGAAAATCAGTGACTGGCCTGATATGACACCAGTCCTCATTAGAAACGCTGAAAACAATTACTCTTGTCTTCATGATGTCCCACATCTCTCTCTGGAAACAAGCACGACATTGGCTACCATTCCCACTGGGAGTGGTCCTATCTCTTCCACTTCCAAGTCTCATCAATTCAACAAATACAGTTGCTACATAAGATACTGTACTGGGGGTTAGCAAAACATGTATACATATGCCAGTAACTCTGGTTATTTCTCACAACCTGACGTTGTGCTGACCTGGTGATGAAGAACACCGTTCTTCCTCTTTGGGATGCTATTAAGCTTATTGCAAACAAAGGACTCTTAAATGGAGCTTTGAACAGTCTTGCCCAAGAGACAACTGCCCAGCATGATGCTCCTCTCTTCTTTGGAGGTTGTTACAGAGATCAAGGCCATGTCCCTTTGAGTTCACAATCAGACAACATCACATAACATCACGTGGGATAACATCAAAGGACTGGCTGGGAAGAAGTGTTTGCTTTGATAACTCAGAGACCTCCCCTACCTTCAAAGACAGCTAGGGCATCATCTCCCACGCTTCCATAAATGTGCAGACGTGCTTCCTAACCCCTAGTCCCAGCTGCTGGGTATTAACAGTTTCCCCCCTCTCCCCAGCCCCACCCCATGCCTGCACTGATCTTACTGAGAGACTCTGAAGCTGTGTGTGATTTTTTAAAAATTATACCTGGGTTTTGTTTTCTGAGAGATCTTAAGCTGTGTGTGATTTTTTAAAAATTATACCTGGGTTTTGTTTTCTTTCTTTTAAAAAAAAATTTTTATTGGGGGCTTATACAACTCTTCTCACAATCCATGCATACACATCCATTGTGTCAAGCACATTTGTACATTTGTTGCCACCATCATTCTCAAAACATTTGCTTTCTACTTGAGCCCTTGATATCAGCTCTTATTTTCCCCTCCCTCCCCGCTGCCCGCTCCCTCATGAACCCTTGATAATTTATAAATTATTATTTTGTCATATCTTACACTGTCCGATGTCTCCCTTCACCCACTTTTCTGTCTTGGATTCCCTGTGTTTCGAGCTCTTATCTGGACCCATGTACATGCTCCGATCTAGCTGGATTTGTAAGGTAGAATTGGGATCATGATAGTAGGAGGTGGGGGGAGGAAGCATTTAGGAACTAGAGGAAAATTGTATGTATCATGGTTGCTGTGTGTGATCTTAAGGCTTGCTAAGCTAGCTCGTTAATCTTAATGTTTCTTTCCTGGCTTCATAGTTTTCACAGTGTACGGACAAAATAAGAGACTTGGAAAAGCAGTTTATAAATCCTGAAGGTGAGAACAGAACCCGCTTCCTTCCAGGGAAAGATCTAACCGAAGACCAAATGATCACCAAATTGGATGAGGTAAATGTTCCTTCTTACCCTTCAGATAGCCTCTGCCGGCCCCTTCTTCACACGCTTCCCAAGACCTGTCGCACTGCCTCGTGTTTTACAGACTGTCCTGTCCTTCATGAGCACAGACACCAAGAGATAGATCCCTTTCCTTGATTTAGTAACAGACTCGAAGCTTAACGTAGACTCTTGCCCAACGAACACCTGGTTGTTCCAAAGGGCCAGAGACACCTGTGGCTGCCTAAAGAGAACTGTTAGCATTTTGAGTGGGTAAATGTGTCTTCCTGATAGCAAGGTTATCAGATGAATGGCAACAAGCAATCCTGATAGAGTCAAGAGGCTCACATTTTGCCACAGGAAGAACTCCCAGAGGAGCTAGAGGGGGGCTCAGGCCGGGGGACATCTCGACGGAGCCTTCCAGATGTATTTGGGAACTGAAAAATGAATGTGCTTCCATTAAGCAAGGGACAGGAGGGCTCGTGTCTTCATGAGGAAAGGAGAATTTGAGAGGCATGGCTTTGTTTTCTTCTGTTGGAATTGTTTCACCCGCAGCTGGAAATGCAGCTGGCCCAGAAGGAGGAGAAGTTACTGGAGAAGGACTTCATCTACGAGCAGGTCTCCCGGCTCACGGACAGGCTCTGCAGCAAAACTCATGCCTGCAAGCAGGACACGCTGCTCTTGGCCAAGAAGGTCAGCCCAACACCCACCCTCTTGCTTTTGCCCCCCGCCCTGCGACCCTTCCCGCTCTATTCCTGAGAGAGCAGCCCCTGAAACTGAGGCCTAAGACGAAGGAAACGTAAAACAATGCGAAGACGAGTCTTAGCGATCTGTCCAAAATAACTCTCCATCTCGTTTCCTAAAAGGGCAAAATCCAAGTGTTTGAATGATCATCTACAGGTTTCACTTAACAGGACATCTACACGTATTTGTTGCCTGTGTGAGTGGGAGACATGATACCACCTCACTTAACACAGTGGTCTGCCCGGGAACGACCTGCTCCAGAACTCGGCCTGACCCAGAGGTGGAAGTGGATCCTTCCAGAGAGACTCAGTCCTCCGGCCCGTGAGCTGGAGCTGCCCCAGGGGCTTCCTTGCAAGGACAGTCCAGGACCATCGAGCTCCCTAAGGTGTTGCGTTTCGGATCCTGAGACATCAGACTCAAAGCTCCGGAGTGTGGGTGGCAGGGCTCCCAGCAGCTGCACTGAAAGGGGTCGCCCGCAGGATGGTACTGAGGCACCGAGCACATGGCGGTTCGGAGCCCTCCGAGAAGCAGCGTGCTGCCACGGCACAGGTGTCCCCATCCAGTTGTCACCACACACCTGGTGGGCACGAGGGCCGAAATGGAGGAGGGAGAGGCCCATTGTACTGCCCTGTAAGACTCACACAGGGACACACACACACACACACACACCCTATGGGAACTCCTCAGGGCAGCTACTATTTCTGCCACCTTCGCTAGCCGGGTGTCCAACAGGCCCACCACTTTAGAAAAATGTGGAAGAAATAAGGAAGCAACCTGTTCTGTTCTGGAAACAGCCCTGGCACACTAAATGAATGAGGAATTGTAAATTGTAGACCTTCCTCGCCGTTTTTACTTGGCTTTTACACATCCCCTTGGACTCCTTCCACTACTAGACGCTGGCCAGCCCAGCCATCCACAGCTTTACCTCAAAATTAAGGTCTGCGGCGCATGGACGCTCGGGAACTTTGCCTGAATTAGCACATCCAGTGTTTCTTTAAATGCGGTCTTCCTTCCTTTTACAGAATGAATTCCCCCTTTCTTCAGGGGGCAGAGCCCTGGTGGCATAGTGGTGTACCAGTTGGGCTGCTAAGGTCAGTCGTTCAAAACCATGAGCCACTCCACAGGAGAAAGACAGGACTTTCTACTCCCATGAAGAGTTCCAGTCGTGGAAACTTTCAAGCAGTTAGTTCCACCCGGTCCCCTGGAGGGACGCTCGGAGCGGGCACGGGCTCCAGGGCCGTGAGTTTTGTTGGTGTAGGCTCCTTTGAGGGCGGAACCATTTTTCGTGGAGGGTTTGCTCGTCAGTGGATGGCAGTCTCCTTCTGCAGGCAGCCCCAGGGCTAAAGCACTGCAAATGCTAGGACTGGCTGTGTGGCAGGGAGGCCGCATGGCTGGCCGCGTGCTAGCTTGTGCGCTCGCTCGCCTTCCCTTTGCCTGCCTGCAGTGCTCCATACCGCGCGTTTCTGTTTCAAACATTTAAAACGGCAACCTCCCCCTCGTGGGCAGCGCTAGGGAGACATTCAGATCTCAGATCTGTGCTTCACCAGTCCTAGAGAGCAGGTCACCTTGGGAAGGACACAGAAGCAATCTTCACGTTTCTTTTCCTCATCTGTGAAATGGGTGGTTTGGCTACAGTTGTTCCAAGTGTTATCGCCTCGCACCTAAGGGCTCATCTCCTGTGGGTGCCCAGCTCGGGAGCATGTTTCCACAAGCCTCTCATCTCTTCCTAGCTAGCTTAGGGCTCCGGCAGCAGGTACCCACGTCGACAGAAAAGAGGCCATGTCAGCACCACCCAGAGTAATAGCAGCCTTTTCTTACGTTGGGGAGGAAAAATCAGTTCTGAGCAGCGACTAATTGACAAAACTTACCGTCATGACTGATCGCTGAAGAAGCTGAAAATGGTAGTCGTTTCCCTCAATATTCAAGCACGCTTCATAAAAACGAACTCAGTGTAGCCTCGGTGGTGTGGTGGGTAATGAGTTCAGCTGCTAGCTTCAAAGTCAGCAGTTCAGAACCACCAACAGATGAGGCTTTCTACTCCTGTAAAGACTGAGTCTCAGAAACTCACAGGGGCAGTTCATTAGGAGTCACACACAACACGACGGCACTGGGTCTTGAGTGAGAGGAGTTATAAAATCATTTGTACAGCTACAACCTGTGTGCGCTATCTTAGAAAGGTGCCTTAAATCCAGGTATAATTTCTAGTAGCTCGTTTTCATCTCCCAATTCACCCTGGTTCTAAAGATTGGTGAGTCACATAAACTTATGAATCCCTTAATTCTCTCATTCAACAGATGCTTCATTTAAATTGTTTGGTGCCGCCTGTGTTCCTAGTAGATCCCCTGGATGGTACAGTGAACCTGCTTGGCTACTATTGGGCAGGTTAGAGGTTCAAGTCCACTCAAAAATGCCTTGAAAGAAAGATCTGCTTCCAGAAATGTCAGCCCCGGGAAGCCCTGTGGGGCTCAGTCCCACTCTGACGCATGGGGCTGCCTTGAGTCAGAGTGGACCCCACAACAGCTGGCTTGGTTTTTATGTTCCAAATGCCCTCCAGCCCACGGGGAAGATGACAGAGCAACTTGTCCTTGACCACATGGAGAGTAAGCGCCGACAGATGACAGCCTATACCCAAATAGCCCAACTCATAAGTCAGCAGTGAAATGTGAAGAGAAAGGAGGGGACAAGGGCATGTTGGTGAGGGGGAGGCCACCCCTCAGTGGCCTTCAGCCACACTAAAAGTCTGTGCTGTGAAATCTAATCTATTCTGACTCAGAGCAATCGTGTAAGGCCAGTAGAACTGCACCAACGGGTATCCAAGGCTATAGATGGCAACAGAGACAAAGGGCCACAGCTTTCTCTCTAGAACAGCTGGGGTTTGAAGTCCTGATCCTGGGCTATCCATCGAGTGCTAGAACCACTGCGCCATCGAGGCCCCTCGCAAGCTGAGAGGAATCATCAGTTCCAACTCTACTTCTTTTCTGCTTTCTAAAACCTTTTTTCCACTGTGTGTCCTGTTTCTGAACTCTCTCAATGTGAGATAAACCAGTAGTTCTCCAGACAGCCAATGCTTGGCAATCCCATGTTTCTCAGAAGAGAACTGCCTTCCATCTCTTCCCAAACCTTATAGTTGGTAGCCGAGCAAAGAACCTTTGAGTCACCCAAGGAGTCTTCAAAGAAACACTGGATGCCTGCAACGCTCATGAACCTCACTACGTCTTAGCCTTTGTTTTATGGAATAAAATATCTCCTCCTTCAGCTGCACAACTGCCATGTGACCAGGCAGTGTCTATTAGTGGAAGTAATTAGAAGGACATGTAAAAGCAGAAACAAAACAACACAAAAACGGCGAGAAACACCTGCAGTTTACAACTCCTCATTTAGTTAGTGTGCCAACATTGTTTCTGGAGTAGGACTTACTGCTTCCTCCTTTCTCCCCAGCAAGCCGTTTCGTAGGGCCCAGTACGTGCTAGACACAGAGGAAATGAACTGCTGCTACTCTTGGGAGCCCACAGCCTGGGGTGTGGGGACGTTAGTGTGCTTTTTGATCAGTCTCGCTCCACCAGACTGTGAGGTGCATACGGCAAAGGTGCATAAAGGCCTCTTCCTCTTCATTTCATAGGTTCATAGAAGCCTCTTCCTCTTCATTTCCGCCTTCCTGCCCAGTCAAAATGAATCACTGGAACAAGACAAAGTAACACCAGGAGCAGCTTGTTCCAAATGTTTGGCCATGTTTTTCCTAGCTCAGCTAATGCTCGCTGGCGAACTAACAATGATGCATCCAAGGAATTAAGATGCTAACACATTTAAAGTCATAGTTTCCATTTAAAAAATCATTTCAGATGCTGAACCCCTGCCAATTTTCTTACATAAGCAAAAAGTAAAGTTTGAACATAGTCTTTTCTAGCCAATTATTTTCCCCTGTGCTCTGCCTCCCACAACACGCTTTACTCTTCTCTGCTGGGTTAACTACTCCGAGGCAATAGCCACCCACAACTCACAGAAGATGCTCCCAATTGTGGGGCGTCATAGGGAAGTACACAGGTTACCATTAGGTGAGACCTTCCAAGGGGCCATTGTTCAGTCCACACACTTCCTTCTCTCTGGCCTTTGTCCCATGTGAGCAATGTGAAGTTTTTTCCAGGCTGCTTAGAAATGCTCAATGGTCATGTCACTTGCTGCAGGCCTCACCCTGAAAGCTCTCAACTCCAGCTCATCAGTCAGTCTACCTACCTCCCGCAGTTAAGGGCCCAGAGGCGCCCCATGCCGCAAGCCAGTCTCCTGTCCAAAAGCACTCAGCTTGACTGCTCAACCTCGTGTTCTGGCTCCTGGTTCTGCTCGTGTTGCCCCTCCTCTGCTCCTCCAGTGTCAAAGCTGTTTTCTGGATCAAGGAGGTTCAATCCACAGGGATCTCGGGGTCCAAATACACAGGTAGTGAGATCCCTTCTCTGCTTCTGAGATGGCTCGTTTTTATACCCAGCAGGATGGTGCCCACAGTGAACACTGTTATAACAATAACTGACAGCTGCATTGTAACCCATTCAGTCTCTTCCCCCACCTTCTAAGCCCATGGGAGTAACATACCAATGGCTCTGGCTAAACAAGCCACATGAAGTCATTCCCTGCATTATGCCTGGATATGTGATGAACTAATCCTGTGGCAAAATTAGACCAAAACCTAAACAGCAAGAACCCTCTCTTCACTTTCCTCCTGGAGACTCTAAACTATTGCATCCCTCAGTGCTATCCACTTTAAAATCTGGTAAACTTGATAAATGGGCCCTGTTCCTTTTTCTCCTTGCCCTTATTTACAAAGCCAGAGTCTTGGGCTTAATCTCTGAAGTTTCCTTCATTCTTATTTTCTGTGAATTCCTACTTCACCCCTCCTCCCTTCAGGCAAGAATGCCTACTCGCATCCCAGCCAGCAGCCTGACATCTTCTGCAAGTCTTTAAGGAATGGTTTTATAGAGTAAGCCTTGGGCTCTTTATTTTTAGATGAATGGCTACCAGAGGAAGATCAAAGACGCTACTGAAAAACTCATGGCTCTTGTTGCTGAGCTATCCATGAAACAAGCTCTGGCCATCGAACTCCAAAAGGAACTAAGGGAAAAAGAAGACTTCATCTACTCTTGCCGTTCCAGGATAGAAATGGGTCTTCCACTCAACAAAGAGATCGAGAGAGAGTGGTTGAAGGTACTTCGAGACGAAGAAATGCATGCCCTGGCCATCGCTGAGAAGTCTCATGTAAGTTTTAACTCCTGTGCTGTATTTGTCAGCTGTGTCAGGAAGAGCTGTTGCCAGGCTGTCAGTCATCCCAGGATAGAAATATTCCATGCCATGACATAGAGTCCCAATAGTCACGAGACGAACATGTGTTGTTGTTTTTAAGACGGTGTGTAGACATAGTAAAGTATATCAGTCAAAGTGATGCAGGATTGCCTGGAGGATGCTTGTCACACACCAAGCCCCACCCCACCGTGCCTGTGGCATAGCTTTGGCCCCCACTGGCATGGCAGTGCTGAAGAGTTTCCAGTCTGTCCTTCTGCACTTCTTAGACTGTTCCTGACCCTCCTATGGCCATCCACCCTGGCCTGCAGAGCGTGATGCGAGACCTGCAGGCATGATGGTTACTACCTCCTGCTGCACCTGGGTGTGCCAAAGGCCTCCATGCCCGGCCTTTCTTCTCCGATGGTTGGCGTACGCTTAGGTCTGGCCACTAGCTCCATTACCAAGTTAAGTACCCAGTTCTGCTGTCTTGCCCATGACCTGTCAATATTCCTAGAAAGACATTAGGGAGACTACTTCCTGAGGCCTATAGAACTCACCCCTTACACTGTCCAGTAGATGTCCCCTAAGGAACCTCAGTGCTTTCCAAACACACACTAAGAACACCTGACAACTTGGGGGCTCTTACAGCTCTTATCACAATCCATACACACATCCATTGTGTCAAGCACATTTGTACATATGTGTCCATCATTCTCAAAACTTTTTTTCTACTTGAGCCCTTGGTATCAGTTCCTCATTTTCCCCCCGTCACTCCCTCACGAACTCTTGATAATTTTTTTTTCATGTCTTACACTGAGTGGTCTCCCTTCACCCACTTTTCTGTTGTCTGCCCCTCTGGGAGGGCATTATATGTAGATCATTGTGATCAGATCCCCCATTCTCCTCCCACCTTTTCCTTCCCCTCCTGGTATCACTACTCTCATTATTGGTTCTGAGGGATTTATCTGTCCTGGATTCCCTGTGTTTCCAGTTCTTATCTGTACCAGTGTACATCTTCTGGTCTAGCCAAATTTGTAAGGTAAAACTGGGGTCGTGATAGTGTGTGTGGGGCGGGGTGGGGAGTGGGGAGAGGAAGCATTAAAGAACTAGAGGAATGTTGTGTGTTTCATTGGTGCTATACTGCACGCTGGCTGGCTCGTCCCTTCCTCGTGACCCTTCTATGAAGGAATGAGGGACAACACTTTTTAAGACATTTGGATTACACTTGGTTTCCTGCTGTCATTCACTTGGCTCCATTCTCTAGAATTCTTGTTAGTGTCTTAAGAATTCCTTTTTTCTCGGAGACACAGTCAGAACTTTAAGGTCCTTGAGGTTCAAAGCAAGTGGCCAACCACTTTCTCCTCTAGTTTTATTTTGCAACTTGCATCTTCTTTTAGAACATTTGCTCACAACTGACTGCCCAAAGGTAAGACATCGCGCTCTCGTTTCCAAAACATAGAATTATTAGTGTTTGACGAAAGAGAAGAGAATGCAGTCGAGACAGGCACACCTTGGAGATAACCTGGGTCTGGTTCTGAACCAACCAGTGAGTCACGTGACTTTTGTGTTTTCCCAGTGCATATCTCAATCATGGCCACACTATCGTCTGCTAAGTGTGCAATAGCATTATAAAAGGTTGAAAGATTGTGAGATGTACCAAAATGTGACAGATTGGGAAAATGCCCTCAATGTAGGGTTGCCAGAAACCTACAGGTTGTAAAAAGTGCAGTATTCAGGAAGCTCGGGAAAGTGAGGTCTGCCTGGAGGGAACTCAACCCATACCAGTGAGATGGTGCGTGAGTGTGAGAGAGAGAGAGAGAGAGAGAGAGAGAGTGTGTGTGTGTGTGTGTGTGTGTGTGTGTGTGTGTGTGTGTTCCCGAGGATGAAGTGACTTCATCAGTATTTTCCAAAAGATGAGAAGGAAAAATCTTCTTTGCAGGAGTTCATGGAAGCAGACACTCGGCAGCTGCCCAATGGTGTTTACACGACCGCAGAGCCGCGACCCAATGCCTACATCCCAGAAGCCGATGCCACTCTGCCATTGCCAAAGCCATATGGTGCCCTGGCTCCTTTTAAACCCAGTGAGGCTGGCGCTAACATGAGGCACATCCGGAAGCCTGTGATACAGCCAATTGAAATTTGAAGGCGCCAGTCCAGCCCTTCCACCAGACTTCCCTGACCCCCGCAGTGGGAAAACATGAGCATATTCATTCTGGAGAGGACCTACAAACGTCCTCTGCCGCAGCAGATCACTGCATGGCTCACCTCTTTTTTCCTCTCTCTATTGGTTACCTTTCATAGGCAAGGGGCTATACAAATCCAATGAAAATACTTTTTTTTTTTAACTCTGTAAGAATCCAAGGGGCTATACAAATCCAATGAAAATACTTTTTTTTTTTAACTCTGTAAGAATCCAAGGAAAATAAATTTTTCAGTGAGAGCCAGAAATTGGCAGAGTGGTCTTTATTTATTCAAGCAAACAAGCAACTGGTTAGCATATTCACTTTAAAGAAAAATAGTGCTTCTTTTGATAAGAAAAGTATCCCAAGCACTGCAAAGTCATTACACTGAGTTTATTGAATAAGAAGTAAAGCTTGGGAGTTAATGTTGGTCAATCTAAATAATGTAAACAGCAGTAGTCAAGCTTGTCATTTCTAAGTAATGTATTCTTTTTCAAAAGAAATTCTTTTGCATTAAAAATAATTATGCCTAAAGGGCCCAGCAGTAATGCTACAGTTCTCAGCCATGGCAGCACCGCTAACCCTCCTCCAAGCCACCGAGTTGAGCGGCTCATAGAAGCCTCCCCCTCGCTGCACTGCTGCTGGTGCCACAGCCAACTGGGGTGGGGGTGGGGGTGGAGAAGCACAGGCTCCTTTTAGGCATACTATTTCTGTCCCCAAAGTTTATTAACACAGGATTCCTTTCTGACTTTATTTTTTAATTTCTTTTATTTATTTATTTATATCATTTTATTAGGGGCTCGTGCAACTCTTATCACAATGCATCCATCCATCCATTGTGTCAAGCACGTTTGTACATTTGTTGCCATCATCCTTCTCAAAACACCTGCTTTCTACTTGAGCCCTTGGTATCAGCTCATTTTCCCCTCCCCACTCCTACCTCCCCTCTGAACCCTTGATAACGTATAAATTATTATGTTGTCATATCTTACACCATCCGACGTCTCCGTCACCCACTTCTCCACTGTCCATCCCCCAGGGAGGAGGTTATATGTAGACCTTGTCATCTGTTCCCCCTTTCTCCCTCACCTTCCCTCCACCCTCCCGATATCACCACTCTGTCCACTGGTCCTGAGGGGTTCATCTGTCCTGGATTCCCTGTGTTTCCAGTTCCTTTCTGTGGACTGTGTCTACTTTCTGACTTTTCATCACCTTCTCATGTGCCGCACGTCCGTCCCTGTCTCCTCTTCTCTCTCGCTCCCCCTTTCTTACTCTCAGCTGTTCTCTCTACTGTCTTCCGATCTCCCCTCACCCTGCCCCTTACTCTCCTGCCATTCTAAACACCTAGGCAGGTCGTTAACGCTAATAAAACCTGTTAACTAAAACCCTCTGGGTCTGCTTTCCTTTCATTCTGTTCTAACAATGCCTTCATTTGTCTCCCCTTAAAAATCCATACTTTGCTAATGAACTCACGAAAATTTTGACAACAGATTTCCAAGAATCTCAATGGGAGTATTATAACTTTGCCTGTGCAAGAGTTGAAAATGAGGCACAGTTCCCCTTTTCTAAGGTGACCAGACGTCCCGCTTTTGGTGGGACTGTCCCGATTTTTAACAATTTTTCCCACGTCCTGTGGCTTTTTTAAAAAGTCCTGATTTTTGGAAAGAATGCACAACAAGCTAGGGTATACAGTTTTCACCTGCCATGTGGCTATTTCGCCAGGATATGAGTTTTATCAATGATGTCCCGCTTTACCAGTGTTAAAATCTGGTCACCTTACCTATATCGCATTGCTATTTGTGTTGAATCTCACATTAAGTATGTTTTCCTAATGCTGTTTTCCTATCGTCTCGTGTGTGGGGACACATGGTGGGTTGGAAGAATGGGCTCAAACTTACCAGTTGTGAGGCGGGCAGGACTGAGCAGTAATTCATCCAGTTGTCCACGGACATTGCAGCTGACCAAACAAGATCATTCTGAAGCTATCTTTATGGCATGCCGGAAGCAGTAGTGCGTTGTATCCCACAACTCTAGGAGTCAAATCTATCATATGCCTTTATTTTGCTCAATCAAGATCTACTCCAGGCTCTCATCCTGCCAGATTGGAGGGAAATTTTATCTCATTCTTCGTCTGAGAGTCCTGGATCTAACCTGATTGCTTGGCGGCATCATCATTATTAAGCAGTGCCCTTTGCATGCAGCTAACCTGCTCAGCTGTTGGCAGTTCAAGGCCATTTCAGCTGCACGGAAAGAAAGGCCTAGTGCTAGACTTGCAAAGACCCAGTCACTGAAAACTGCAACACGGCTCTACTCTGACCGTGGTCTGCGATCAGCTGATGGGATTTCTTCATTTGGAATCAACTTGGTCTGCTGATGGCTGCTGTCAGGGGCGCGCAAGCCCATCCCACCTCGTAGCAGCTCCACGGACAACAAGAAAGCAAAGCAAGGCCTGGCCATGTGAGACCTTCACAATTGCTCTACAGTAACCACTGCCAGGCCCTCTCCTGGAGGGTCTTCCTCCTGAACTCCGGGTCCCCTGCTTTACCAAGCAGGATGGCCTTTCTCCAGGGACCCGTCCCTCCCAACAAAGAGCGTGAGTCAAGTGTGTAGGACTCATTCACGTCAATTACAGTAAGGACAAAGAGGCCCCCCGCGGTGTAGGGGGCAATGTGTTAGGCTGCTAACCGCAAGGAGAGAGGGGAGGATGTCTGTTCCTGTCAAGATGGACAGCCTTGGAGACCCAAAGTGGCCACTCTCCTCTGTCCCATAGGGTCCCCATGAGTTCTCATTGACTGAACGGCAGAGGGGGCTCTGGATGACCACACGCATTTACTTCTAAGCCAGCAGCATGTCGGGAATTAGTGTTAGAAAGAATCACCGTTGCCTTGCTGACTTGGCACCAGGAGCCTCCGTGACTAGGAAGTGGTTGACTAAAAGGGAAAATTCTATAGCAGAGGATAAATCAAAAAGCAGGGTGGTTTTTAGAAAAGTTGAATTATTATACCAGCTAATATTTATAAGCATTAAAATTAAAAGCTCACTGAGGAAAACAGCATGACGAGAAAAAGCCGAGGGACTGCGGGCTGCCCACAGGCTGCTGACTGCACGTATGGGTCAGAATGAAACCGAAGAAGAGCGAACCAAGCAGGAAATGCGCTGTCGTGGGGCCATCGTGGGGAATCTGCCCACGATTCCAGGAACCTCTTGATTCCTGGCTGGAATGCAAGCACGATGTTCAAAGGACAGGAAGAGTCAGGCCCAAACTTTCAGTGGTTTATTTTGTTTTCTTGTTGTTGTTGTTTTAATGACAAAATATTACTAAACCAAACTTTTATAAATATAAGAAAAACGTTAAACTTTTAAATACATTTCCATCTGAATCATCACCATGACGGATGGTCTTTCCAAGGCTGCATGTACACCATGGGACAAACGATTCTGCCAGGAGAGAGGGTTTCATTTACTCCACATCCCAGTTTTAAGAAGTCTCCTCTATCCAAAGAAAGTGTTTATGTAACATTTACATTTTCTGCTTATTATGCATTATTGATAGAGGCACAGCTAGCTTTTTGTTTTTTCAGCATCCTCCCATGCATTTTTAAAGCATGGCGTATTTCTGAGCACAGCTGAACCAGGGGGTCTCTGAGGCTGCTGGGGAAATCTTTCTCTGAAGAGCATCCTTTATGCCGCTCTATGCCTCTTTGGACTGTTTTCTCCTTTCTCTACCTTCGACTGCTCACCTGATGTTGAAAACGGGTGAGGTGCAGCACTTTACTTCTGTTTACTATCACCCAACTGCAGTGCAGACGGCTCAAGAATGCATTGTGAACCATCTTAAATACGGTGAAATTGAGATGAAAATACTGGAAGCTGATTTCGCTGCAGCCGCTCTTCTATAAGCCTAAAAGCATCGTGGTGTGTTTCAGAGCTGCTTCCTCTACAAATTTTGCATCCACATTGTCGTGTCCTTCACAGGCATACAGAGCTGGGGGGGGGGGGGGGCGGAGAAGAGTTATGATGAAGCCACGGCACACAGTCATCATGATCATTTCATATTCTAACAAAACACGGTTCGGACAATATGTCGTTAAAACTACATTATGATCTCTAGTCTAAGACAGCAATGCTGTTGTGTAATAAATACTACACCTCAGCACCAAGAAAGGGTGTTTACCTTAACCAAACAGGCTTTAAAGCAGGGGTCCTCAAACTATGGTCCACATGCAGCCCGCAGAGGGCAATTATCCGGCCCGCAGGGTGTTTTTGCCACCGCTGCCTGTCCTGCTTAGCATAGGCAGTGTGCATAGGAATGCACACTTCAACGGTCTGAGGGTCAGTGAACTGGCCCCTGTTTAAAAAGTGTGAGGACCCCTGCTTTAAAGCCGTTGGAACCCTCAGTCAGGTGATTTGGTAATTTACTCTGGGTTAGTACATTGTGTAACAGTGAAAGCCGACATCCATCAGGACCGACTTAAAAGTACAGAGCGCGGGACTTTGGAAGGACAAAGTAGCAGAGTGGAATGAGGGGTGACCGGTGTGCCAAGGGAAGGGCAGGAAAACGCTGAGGCCCCACTTACCTGGATTGGAGGACTCGATGGCTGTCAGTATGTCAATGAAGTAGTTCAGAGGCAGAAATTCCACACGGAAGGATGTCTTGTCAATCACAGACTCCCGGGGCTGAAAGGGAAACCACGCTGGGATGAGTTGGTCTTCTGGAGCAAGCACACTTAAAGAAGGGGTGTAGACAATTGCGGCATGTGTTGCGTTTTGTACACAGGATCCCAAAGGAAGGACTCCCCTCCTGTGGCTGTGCTGTCTGCACACTCACCTGTTTCTTATGGTCCTGAAGCAACCGCTTCACGTGGTTCCGGGAAATAATACTGGAACTCATAGGGTGGTCCCAAAGCTGACTGATCTTCTGACCCAGAAGCTATTATTGGTTGAGAAATACACAAAGGAGAATATGTCCCACATGAGGATAAATACATTTAGCTTACATCTATTCATAATTATTTAAACCTTATGTCCAAAGTACCTACTTCATGTAAGACAGGCATTCTAGGGTTAATGTGTCCTTGGAGAAAGGCCATGTTTCTATGAAATATGCTTCTGGATTCTGAATAAATAACCCATCAAGCGCTACCCGGAGGAAGGCAGTTTATACATTGATAATGACAAATTCTTCCCTGAAATGGAATTCATCTGCTTCTCTTCAAAAGTGGGTTCTGCTTGCCAGCCCTCAGTGATGTTTTGACAGGGAAATAAAGGTAGTAGGCATATTTTTATCAACTTCTCTGCCAGGGCCTTGCCCAGAAAACTTTAATTCCCTTAGGCTGTGAGGCAAAAAAAAAAAAAATCAAATTTGGAAACCAAATGAAATGTTCAGAGAGACTCCCCAGAGAGTTCGAGCCATGAAAAATATGCTGTTGTCTCTTCTTGCCTTTGCTTCATAAGCCAGTGGACTAGGGGCCGGTACAAAGCAAGCCCGTTAGGTTCAGAAAGGCAGCAGACATCCCTTCGTGGGGGCTGAGAAGGATCCCGAGAGAGACAAGTGCTGGAGGTCATGTAAACAGCGACAGGGCTGGCTGAAGCTCTTCAAGGCAGGAAGGCCAGAGACTTAGAGGCTCTGAAGACCTTGGCCCAGGAATTTCAGATTTTCATAGTGTTTCTGACGAAGAGCGAAGCTCCCTGGTGAACACAAGGAGGCCCTTGGAACACTTCCTTTCATGTCTCTCCTCCTTCCTTTACTCTGGGGATGTTCTCCTACTCTGGCGGAAGCCATAGCAGGAGGAAATACAGCTCCAGAACCTTCTGACCTTACCTGTATTTAAATCCCTTATCAGTTAACATGCCAAAAGCACCTGTTTCCCCTCAGACTCACAGCTGTAAAGAGTGGTGTGGTTTCCCAAGAGGAGAAAACGTCCCCATGGCCCAGATGGCTGAGCCAAGACGGGACAAAGCCAGAGAGCGAAACCTGCTGGAAGCCCAGCAGGGCGCAGCCGGCAGGGTGGGGATGGAGGAGAGTTTTTGGAAAGGACGGAAAATGAAACAATTCAGTTCACTTTAGCTCCAAAGGAAGTATACACTCTTCTTCCAATAAAAAAATTAAAGGATCTCTCCTCCCCTCCACCCCACTGTCATGATCCCAATTCTACCTTGCAAGTCTGGCTAGAGCAGAGGATGTACACTGGTACAGATAGGAACTGGAAACACAGGGAATCCAGGGCGGATGATCCCTGCAGGACCAGTGGTGTGAGTGGCGATACTGGGAGGGTAAAGGGAGAATGGGTTGGAAAGAGGGAACCAATTACAAGGAACTATATGTGACCTCCTCCCTGGGAGACGGACAACAGAAAAGTGGGTGAAGGGAGACATCGGACAGGGCAAGATATGACAAAATAATAATTTATAAATTATCAAGGGTTCATGAGTGAGGGGGGAGCGGGGAGGAAGGGGAAAAATGAGGACCTGATGCCAAGGCTTTAAGTGGGGAGCAAATGTTTTGAGAATGATGAGGGCAATGAATGTACAAATGTGCTTTACACAACTGATGTGTGTATGGATTGTGATAAGAGTTGTATGAGCCCCTAATAAAATGATTTAAAAAATAACAACAACAAAAATTTAAAGGAGGCCCACCCTACAGCTTAGGGAGAAAATAAGATATAATGCAGGATTACCAGAGGAAGCCGCGCAATGATGCTAAATTTTAGCTTTTCATTTCTCTCTGTGTTGTCCAGATCTGCCCGTTTAAAGAGAGAGAGAAACAGATTGTCAAATGAAACAAATCTCCATTTAAATACCTTAGCTTAGTGGCCCCTCCGTGGTCCACTCTCATACTACACAGAGCAACCTTGCATTCTCAAGATAAAATCGAGCAGCACACTGAAAACCTTTTCGTTTTTGTCCCTCTGAATAAACAGGGATTTTTAATGAGCACCTTTTGTAACATGCTGCCAGTCCAAAGCAATTGTGTTGACTGACATCAACCCAAAGGCAGGTTGAGGACAGGTAAATGCTCTACTCTGCAGCAGTAAAACTCATCTGTAAAATACCACCGGAGTCAGGGTGACTACTTCCACCACAGACCTTAACTTGAAGTGCCAAGTCAAGTAAGTTCTGCATCTCTCATTCATTCTTTTGGCATTTGAAATTCAAGTTTCAAATAGAACAGATAGATCACTCGGAACTAGCCATTTCCTTCTTTGATAGTACTTTCCTGAGAAATGCGTGCAGAGTCTCTGAGTCTCAGATGCCCTCCTGAACAAAAGCACCCGAATAGCTTGATACAGATCAAGTGCCTTTGGGAGGCCTCTTGAAGGGCTCAGGCACTTGAGATTGGTCTCCTTGGGACAGAGGATGTTTACAGGAAATAAACTGCACTCGGCAATGTTGCCTATGCAACTCGCCGGGCCCGGTGCAAAAGGAGGATCGAGGGCCCCTTTTTCAGAAATAATTCAGACTTTCAAGACGATAGCAGTAGAGTACATTTGACCACGTTCTGGGCCCTTCTGAGAGGAGCCAGGCCCCACGTGCTGCACAGGTTGTAGATCTGGGACCCCAGCCCTGGCAGTGTTCAAGTCGGAACTGGTGCTCTGGAAACGTCAAGCCTCTTACCTTTCATGAGCCTGGTGACCGCTGTTTCTGTAAGGAGCAACACCCCATCATCAATGTGATGCAGCAGGTTGTGCAAAGGCAGGCACTGGACCCCAAGCGCCATGTGCAGAGTGTGAAAGCCTAGGATGAGAGGGCCCAGAGGAGGCCCAGGTGGGTCAGCCACCTGCAGTCTCCAAGAGGGAGGGTCAGAGGAAGTTAATCAGCACCCCACTCGATGCGTGGCACGCAGAGCCAACTAACTGTTCCTTGAGGATGAGGGCTGAGTTTCCTTGTTTGTACTACCAACACAAATATATGAGTATCTTTAATACATATTAAGTATATATAATAAGTTTCCAATAACATATTATTCCCTTCACCAGCATCCCACCCTAGGCAGCAAGAGCACAAGGCCCGCTGAACGAAAATGTGTCTTACAATGTATCTTGAAGAGCAATGGTTCTCAACCTTCCTAAGGCCACGACCCTTTAATACAGGTCCTCATGTTGTGGTGATGCCCCCCAACCATAAAATTATTTTCATTGCTACTTCATCACTGTCATTTTGCTACTGTTAGTATTTTGTGAAAGGGTCGGTTGGCCCCCAAAGGGGTCGCGACCCACAGGTTGAGAACCTCTGTTGAAGGGCACACAGTCCTCCTCGCTTGGGAAAAGCCCACTTTGACTTGCTAAATCACTCTTCCGTAACTGTTGATGGGCTGGCCCTGGCATTCCAGTCCTGGCATGCAGCATGTTTGGTTCACCAAAGCCACAACAGTCAATCCCTGCCTCCCACTGAGGTGGCGGAGAACTGTATCAGTCCTGCAATCACCGGGGACCAGCCTTGTGTGTAAGTTCCTTAAAAAGACTCCTTGCCATCTCTCAGGGACTGCCAGTCTCGTTCTTTGTTCTCTCAGCCTTCACCACATTTGGAGGTAATTTCAAGTTACAGGTCAATGTCAAAGCTTATGTTTGCAACACTACAGCAAGATGGAAAAAGGGAACAAGGAGCAGAAGAGCTTCAAACTTCACTGAAGGCTAACAGGCTGATGGAGAAGGACCATTTTGCGGAAGGAGGAAACAAATTGGAACACAAAGGTTAGTTTATAAAACAACTAAGAAATGTTTGCGACCTCTGTACCCAGTCCCCACTGATGCAAACTCATGTGATAGGCCTGACCTGGCATGTACCCTAGCAAAAGGATTTTGGAATCCACTTGAACTAAATTCTAGAAACAAAATCATGAACATTATTTTGCCAAACAGCAAACCTAAAGGAATTCAATAGGGCGGTAGGGACTGTATCAAACATTTCATATCAAATCCTCACAAACCTAAAGCGCAAAGTACACTCTTGGTAACAAAAGATAAAACTAACATATAATGGAGAAGATGTCAGACCAGGAGAACATCAGAATAGCTGTCTAGGAAAATATCCTTCTGAAGCACAGAGAAAACTCCTGCGGTAAAAATAACACAAGAGCCTATGGTGTAGAGATGGTGAGGCAAAACCAGACTCTGAACGCGCAGAACCCGGACTAGGCTCCCCCTCCGCTGCTGACGAACTGCAGGAGACTGAGCCTTCTAGAGAGCAGAATGGAGTCCTAGTACTTTCACGTGGGGCTGCTCAAATACTAGAGGTCGGTCAAAATACTAGCACAAGTTTTCCCAACGTCCACTAATGCTGAGCACACACGGAGGGCATCAATCTTTGTCCTGGCTCATTTGAGCGTCACATACTAATAAGACTCACCGCCATCGAGTTGATGCCACCTCATAGCACCCTACAGGATGGGGTAGAACTAAGAGGCTGTAGCTCTTTTTTTTTTTTAACTTTAATTTTTTAAATCACTTTATTGGAGCCTCTTACAGCTCTTATAACTATGTACACATCTCTTAAAGGCCAGCGATCCTTGAACTACCTACAAGCTTTTCTTTCTTGGTATATTTTAATTTGTTCTTTGTCA